ACGAAATGATTCACTTAATTGTTAAGTAATGGGTACCATTAGACCATAAATTTTATCTAGCATCTCACCGTAGATGCAGTAAAAAGTGCTTTACTTTTCAATGTATATAAAGACTTGCTCAGCTCAATCAGTTCACTCTGTATTGGCTCAAGCCGTATCATGCGAACGCAATACAAACTAGAGCACCGACAGCGCAGCGCTCCCCAACTCACTGCTCGCCCAGTCCACCCGGGCCGCCGCCACGACGGCCCCCCGCAAGTAGGCATCCCGCACTGCACCGACAGCCGCGGGCGACCAGCTGACCGGCCAGCTGACCGGCCAGCAGCCGGCGGGCGGCAAGCCGCGGATGGCCGACCCGCCGGCGCGGCGAGGGAGGGGAGGGACGCAGCTGAAAGACCCGACTACATATATATCAAAGAAACATTATATGTAATCATCGATGACGCGACATAAATCTGCTTTATTGGGTTTAGCGGTGTAGTCTGTGATGCCATCACAATGAAAATAGCCTAGTTTTGTAGAGCATCAAATTCTGATTCCATAACGACTCTCGCTAGTCCATTTTCAATTGTAAATAAGCCTTTTATTGCGATGCAAAGTCCCGAAATGGTGCCGACGGCGGCCGGTCCCCCGATGGTACCATACCATAGATCAGCAGAGGGCTGTTCACGGGCCCTGTGTGCGGTCGGACCGCACACAGCCTCCAAGCTCCGCCCACTGCGTCCCTGCGTCAGCCTTCCGTCACCGCACACAGCGATCGCTGTGGCCGGTCGGGACTGGCCACAGCGGACCGTCCACCGCACGCAGCCGTGACGTCAGAACCGCCTACCCATCCCCTACCCCCACGCCAGCTGGACGCACCGCACACAGCGCACGCAGCAGTGTGCGGTGCCCGTGAACACCCCTCTGGTAAACAGGTTAGTTCACATTCCCGCCGCTATGCGGGCGGCGGCGGCGCCACCTGTCCTCGTGTCCGCCTGACACCGTAACGATATAGGTCTGAGCTCAAATCTCGGTAATGTCGTGCTTTTTTACTATATTTCTCAAAAACGGCACAACGTGCAATAAAGTTGTATATATCATTGGAAAGAGCATCAAAAGTTGTATAACCTATCAACTTTTCACTTAAATATATCTCAACTGTAAAAAGTTATTAAGCAGCAAAGACGCTCCCATTCACTTTCCATGTTAAAATTTTTCATATTTAAACGAGCCTAAAAAGAACAAACGAATTTGCACAGCTTAAAGAAGCATAACAACATGTTCTATGGTCTTTTCTCAACAAGTCCTGAAAGTTAAAGCAAAATCGTATCATATAATTTTGTACAATGAGCGAATGAAAATGTCTCTGCAAAAACGCCCATTGACTTAACATGGGGAGCGAAAAAAGTTCAACTTTGACCTCGTGCAAAGACACGTTACGAAGTTCTGAGGGGTATACGGCGCACACTAGCGTGTACCCAAACGTGTTTGCCATAAAATGCTGGGAAGAAAACCACCTCCTTCTTGGCTCGTTTTCCCGCTATTGGCGATCGCGCAAAAAGTGTCCAAAACCCCATTGACTTAACACGGGGAAAATGGAATCGCACGTGCCACGTGCCACGAGGTTTTAAGCGAGTAGCGACCGGTGCCATCAGGTAGATCGCCTGCGGGAGCCCATACCCTGAAATTTTTACGAAGATTGAGGGATTCGTTTAGGAGAGGCTCAACTTGCCCCAATTCGCTGCCAGACTTTCAAAACATAGCCCGGAGACGGACCGCTCCGGTTGTTTTTCAATAGAAAAACACAATTCTAACGAATAGTGTTTGTCTTTTCAAACAACCTGCGGTTAAAAACACAATTCTAACGAATAGTGTTTGTCTTTTCAAACAACCTGCGGTTAGGACCGCAGGTTGTTTGAGCAAGCACCTCTGTAACGCCGCTAAAGGTGTGCCGAATTTGAATGCAATCAGCCCAGCCGTTTCTGAGATCTGAAAGCCTCACCCTGCACGTGCGCACGTGCAAGCTGGGTCCCAAATGACTTGTGGACGGCACCCTAGTTGCCGGTCTCTAGCGGTGTACCGAATTTAAGCTCAATCGGCCGAGCCGTTTTCAAGATCTGGAAGCGACCCCTACACGTGCGCACGTGCAGTTGCACCCCAACCGAGACACATGAGTATACATACTAACTGACTTGTGCACAGCACCCTACTAACCGGTCTCTAAAGGTGTGCCGAATTTGAATGCAATCGGCCCAGCCGTTCCTGAGATCTGGAAGCGTCACCCTGCACGTGCGCACGTGCAACCTGGGGCCCAGCAGACCTGTGCAAGACACCCTACTACGCGATCTCTAGCGGTGTGCCAAATCTGAGCACAATTGGCCCGGCCGTTCTCGAGATCTGGAAGCGTCACCCTGCACGTGCGCACGTGCAGTTGCACCCCAATCGTGGCACATGGAAATGCATACTAAATGACTGCAACCTACTGATCGGTATCAAGCGTTATGCCAAATTTGAACACAATCGGTCCAGCCGTTCTCGAGATCTGGAAGCGTCACCCTGCACGTGCGCACGTGCAGTTGCACCCCTACAAAGACACATGGAAATGCATCGCCTGGAAAGTGTCTACCTCCATGCCAAGTTTTAGCGCAATCGGCCCAGTAATTACCGCGAGCTATTGCGCGTATTACAAAACAGGCACCTCTTGGCTTTGCACGTGGAACCTGCGTTAGGGGTCACCCATATGCATCGAGAGTAGCACACTATGTGAAAGAAGGGAAAAAGCTACCCCACACAAAAAACCGCACGTGTATCAGCCCAGTGGTTGCCGAGATATAAGTCGTACAAAAACGTCCCCACGGCGGCCGGCCGCTATTTAGCAGTAAAATCGTGTCGCATCCTTCTATGGGAGGTATCCCCGTCACCTGTTCGTATACTGTCTGAGCAAAGGCCATACGTTACGGTCCAAACTCCATAGTGAGGCGGACATACGAATTTACGAGAGTTTAGCGACGAAATGATTCACTTAATTGTTAAGTAATGGGTACCATTAGGTAGACCATAAATTTTATCTAGCATCTCACCGTAGATGCAGTAAAAAGTGCTTTACTTTTCAATGTATATAATTTATAAAGACTTGCTCAGCTCAATCAGTTCACTCTGTATTGGCTCAAGCCGTATCATGCGAACGCAACACAAACTAGAGCACCGACAGCGCAGCGCTCCCCAACTCACTGCTCGCCCAGTCCACCCGGGCCGCCGCCACGACGGCCCCCCGCAAGTAGGCATCCCGCACTGCACCGACAGCCGCGGGCGACCAGCTGACCGGCCAGCTGACCGGCCAGCAGCCGGCGGGCGGCAAGCCGCGGATGGCCGACCCGCCAGCGCGGCGAGGGAGGGGAGGGACGCAGCTGAAAGACCCGACTACATATATATCAAAGAAACATTATATGTAATCATCGACGACGCGACATAAATCTGCTTTATTTGGTTTAGCGGTGTAGTCTGTGATGCCATCACAATGAAAATAGCCTAGTTTTGTAGAGCATCAAATTCTGATTCCATAACGACTCTCGCTAGTCCATTTTCAATTGTAAATAAGCCTTTTATTGCGATGCAAAGTCCCGAAATGGTGCCGACGGCGGCCGGTCCCCGATGGTACCATACCATAGATCTGGTAAACAGGTTAGTTCACATTCCCGCCGCTATGCGGGCGGCGGCGGCGCCACCTGTCCTCGTGTCCGCCTGACACCGTAACGATATAGGTCTGAGCTCAAATCTCGGTAATGTCGTGCTTTTTTACTATATTTCTCAAAAACGGCACCACGTGCAATAAAGTTGTATATATCATTGGAAAGAGCATCAAAAGTTGTATAACCTATCAACTTTTCACTTAAATATATCTCAACTGTAAAAAGTTATTAAGCAGCAAAGACGCTCCCATTCACTTTCCATGTTAAAATTTTTCATTTTTAAACGAGCCTTAAAAGAACAAACGAATTTGCACAGCTTAAAGAAGCATAACAACATGTTCTATGGTCTTTTCTCAACAAGTCCTGAAAGTTAAAGCAAAATCGTATCATATAATTTTGTACAATGAGCGAATGAAAATGTCTCTGCAAAAACGCCCATTGACTTAACATGGGGAGCGAAAAAAGTTCAACTTTGACCTCGTGCAAAGACACGTTACGAAGTTCTGAGGGGTATACGGCGCACACTAGCGTGTACCCAAACGTGTTTGCCATAAAATGCTGGGAAGAAAACCACCTCTTCCTTGGCTCGTTTTCCCGCCATTGGCGATCGCGCAAAAAGTGTCCAAAACCCCACCCCGTTGACTTAACATGGGGAAAATGGAATGGCACGTGCCACGTGCCACGAGGTTTTAAGCGAGTAGCGACCGGTGCCATCAGGTAGATCGCCTGCGGGAGCCCATACCCTGAAATTTTTACGAAGATTGACCGATTCGTCTAGGCCCCGGTCAAGATGTCTCGATTCGCGGCCAGACTTGCAAAACATAGCCCGGAGACGGACCGCTCCGGTTGTTTTTCAATAGTAGAAAAACACAATTCTAACGAATAGTGTTTGTCTTTTCAAACAACCTGCGGTTATTTTTGGGCGTCACGCCGCCGCAGCCTGCTTTTGCCGATTCTAATGCTAACCCTATGGCGCACATGAGCACGCGCCACGGGCGCACCCCCGGCCGCATCGTGCCCAAAATTTAATACGACCTGTTGAATGACGCGACCCACGAGCCGTGAAAATTTCACCCTCGTGCGTCAATCGACGGCGCCGCATAAAGCCTTTTTAAGCGTAACCCCGACGGCGGCGGACTTTTTAAGATTTATAGATGAATAGTAGACCACTACAACCGCTGGGTCGTGTCCCAGCGGTTGATGGTCCCACCAGATGGTCCGCGGAGGGGAGACCCATACCAGAACGTAGATTGTGAAACAATGTAAGTATCTGCCAATATTACCTTTTCCAGAAGAGTTGAAAAACAGCAATGGGTCAGCTCTTGTGAGAAGCACCATGCAGTGTTGGCTGCACTTCAATCTTGTCTCCTGTAAAAAAAAAAAAAAAACAGTATCACTGTATGATTGACAGTTTGATTGCATTTCCTTCAAGCTGCAACATCTCTATTTTAGACATTTTCAGTTCCCACTTGCGCACGGCACCCTACTAACCGGTCTCTAGCGATGTGCCAAATCTGAGCACAATCGGCCCGGCCGTTCTCGACATCTGGAAGCGTCACCCTGCACATGTGCACGTGCAGTTGCACCCCAACCGTGACACATTTAAACACATTGCCCGGTGGGTGCCTACATCCTTTTTATAATGTAGTTATTGTCATTACAATCAAGTTGTACCGTGCTATTGTCATTACAACAAAAATGACACCTCTCTGTTTTACACGTGTCACGTGCAGTGGAGGTCACCCGCATGCATTGTCAATAGTAAATACCTGTAAGAAGGGTATACGCTACCCCGCACAAAAAACCGCAAGTGTAACAGTGTCCATCCCCTCCCCGGCGCCGTCTTCTTCCAGGGGAGGCGCCCCGGCCGCCGCACTGGGGCGTAGCGGAGTCCGTGCTTTTAGCACAGCAAAATATCCACCCAGGCTAGATTAAGGTCACGACAACCTAGGATTAAGAGTGGCTACAGACTCCAGGCTTTATGCAGACTTAACATTGAAGTATTATATATGCAACTAAATGACACACATGGTGTTTGTTCTAACCTTCTCAACAGAAAGTGAACGTGTCAGGACAGCACCCCTTGGTGACCATTATATTCAAGGAGTGTAGGAACTGATTCCCCAGGGGTGAAGCGATAGAAGCAAAAACATGAGTCACTAGTTCCCTCCTGTGTCTTCCCTCCTGCAGGAAAAAAAAATACATGTGTGATGCCCAATGTGACTGATAACTGCATATTATAAAGCTGGAAATATTGTACAAAGTTGTGACAACACAAGCAAACTATGCATGTCACTGCTCTTGTATAACTTTTCTATTTTTATTGCTATATGAGACCTCACAAGACACAAAAATATGCATGGTTAGAAAGGGGGTAACAATACATTTCAAATGAACTAAGCAGATTATTTCTAAGCTCATTTAAGTCCCAATTTCTGCTATATTTCGCTTGGAGTCACTTCATAGTTTGAACTCAAGGTGCCTTGTGGATTTACCTCAGGTATGTAGGTAAATCCACAAGGATTTATGGGCTTTACCTCAGTTATGTAGCTGCTCCCTCAATTTAAGTTTCTCGTTAAATTTCATTGAGGCGTTGCAAGATGGGCTGTAGCCAAATATGCTTCCCTGTTTAGCTGATGCTCATAATACCTGAACATTTCTAATTCCAATTTTTATAGCTGTTAACAATTGCTAAAGGCCCATGTACCTAGACAATAATGACTTTACAGAGGAAACCCCTGGCTGTGTTTCATGGGCACGCTGCCAGCAGCTGCCAGCGCATTCCGTGGAGCTAGCATCAACCTCTGGTAGTGTTGGAGGTATAGGCTTGTTGATGTCTATGGAAGCCAAAAGTGGCTGACAGAGTGCCGCGTTAAACCACCCTTATTTTTTGCACAATAATGGTGTGATAACTGTTCCTGCAAAAAAAATAAGGTGAAGTGAACTAAAATCAGGTCAAACATTTATATGTACCCAAAAGTAGCAGTGTATGGAGTACCTATATTCACATTACCAATAATATGATGCACAACAGGCCATAGAAAACCAGTGCAGTTGGGGAAACTACGAGGTGAACGTCAAAAAATGGATTGGTCAATAAATGGACTTTTGATGACCATATATGGGCATAAATGCAGCCCCCGCTACTAAGAGTGAAAAACGGTATGACAAGCCGGTACTTGCGGCATCGCGTCCACTTATTGGAGAGAAAAGGCTTCCATTTTTCACTAGCAATTGGTGTGATTTGATAAAATTTGGCGAATTGACTCGAAAATGGCGATAGGAAAACGGCTTTTCTGCAGGTTCTGGGCGTCGCAATCAGCTGGCCATTCAATAAATGGATTGGTTTTATAAAAGAAAATTGTTCAAAGATTTAATTTAATTACAATAAACAAAAATATTTAATTCTATAATAATAACTTAACTACAATTTAAAAAACCATAAACAAAATAATAAAAATAATGACATTTTTAAACCACGGTACTGCTTACATTTTTTGGCGCGTCCGTTTCAATCCGCCATATTTGCCAATCACGGACCAATCACGGTTTGACCTTGCGTTGTAACTCTGCGATTTAGAGCCGCCAGTTAATTATGCACCGGGTGAGTGTAGGCCTTGCGTGGTTAAAAAACATTCTTATGCCTTATCTTTTCATTTGAATGCTAAAGCCCCGCCCACTCCAGCCGCTGATTGGCTAATCCAATTTTTGTTTGGCTCCTCGTAGTTTCCCCAACTGAGTGAATGTTGAATTGTACCCCAATTTCAATATCAATATGGCACTTGGCAATAACAGTGAAACACACCGTTTTTTATGTTAAATCAACAGAGAAAACTCCTGAACGTAAAAAATGATCAGAATGTATAATAAGGATAAAAGTATAAATAAAAATCGACATCAGCGCCTATCATCGCCCCTGCACATTCACCACTCCCCATTCCACACGCACAGATTGTTTACCCCTTGGTTTACCCCGTGTTCGCAGTCTCCCTGACGACGGAGATTCTATACGCCCACCGACCAATCACGTTGAAGATCAGCGGGGCTTGGCCGCAGTTCTCGAACGCCATTGGCCAGATTAAGCAGGACCTTCGTCGTCAGTAAACTGTGAACACGGTGTTACATAATTCGCTATGGTAACAAAAGCGCCAGAATTGACTACGAGAATTGGATCCGAAGGTCAAATGGGTCACGTGACTGACAAGTTTAGATGGACAATACCTGGAAAACGGCACAACGTGCAATAACGTTCTATATATCATTGGAAAGAGCATCAAAAGTTCTATAACCTATCAACTTTTCACTTAAATATATCTATAACGTAAAAAGTTATAAAGCAGCAAAGACGCTCCCATTGACTTTGCATGTTAAAAAAATTCTTCTTTAAACGAGCTCAAGAAGAACAAACGAATTCTGACAGCTTAACGAAGCATAACAACATATTCTATGGTCTTTTCTCAACAAGTCCTGAAAGTTTAAACAAAATCGTATCATATAATTTTGTACAATGAGCGAATGAAAATGCCTCTGCAAAAACGCCCATTGATTTAACATGGGGAGCGAAAAAAGTTCAACTTTGACCTCGTGCAAAGACACGTTACGAAGTTCTGAGGGGTATACGGCGCACACTAGCGTGTACCCAAACGTGTTTGCCATAAAATGCTGGGAAGAAAACCACCTCTTCCTTGGCTCGTTTTCCCGCTATTCGCGATTGCGCAAAAAGTGTCCAAAACCCCGTTGACTTAACATGGGGAAAATGGAATCGCACGTGCCACGTGCCACGAGGTTTTAAGCGAGTAGCGACCGGTGCCAACAGGTAGATCGCCTGCGGGAGCCCATACACTGAAATTTTTAAGAAAATCGAGCCACAAGTTTAGGCCTGACCCAAGTTGCCCCAATTCGCGGCCAGACATGCAAAACATAGCCCGGAGAAGGACCGCTCCGGTTGTTTTTCAATAGAAAAACACAATTCTAACGAATAGTGTTTGTCTTTTCAAACAACCTGCGGTTACGAGAGTTTAGCGACGAAATGATTCACTTAATTGTTAAGTAATGGGTACCATTAGGTAGACCATAAATTTTATCTAGCATCTCACCGTAGACGCAGTAAAAAGTGCTTTACTTTTCAATGTATGTAAAGACTTGCTCAGCTCAATCAGTTCACTCTGTATTGGCTCAAGCCGTATCATGCGAACGCAATACAAACTAGAGCACCGACAGCGCAGCGCTCCCCAACTCACTGCTCGCCCAGTCCACCCGGGCCGCCGCCACGACGGCCCCCCCCCCCCGCAAGTAGGCATCCCGCACTGCACCGACAGCCGCGGGCGACCAGCTGACCGGCCAGCTGACCGGCCAGCAGCCGGCGGGCGGCAAGCCACGGATGGCCGACCCGCCGGCGCGGCGAGGGAGGGGAGGGACGCAGCTGAAAGACCCGACTACATATATATCAAAGAATGATACATTATATGTAATCATCGATGACGCGACATAAATCTGCTTTATTGGGTTTAGCGGTGTAGTCTGTGATGCCATCACAATGAAAATAGCCTAGTTTTGTAGAGCATCAAATTCTGATTCCATAACGACTCTCGCTAGTCCATTTTCAATTGTAAATAAGCCTTTTATTGCGATGCAAAGTCCCGAAATGGTGCCGACGGCGGCCGGTCCCCCGATGGTACCATACCATAGATGGTAAACAGGTTAGTTCACATTCCCGCCGCTATGCGGGCGGCGGCGGCGCCACCTGTCCTCGTGTCCGCCTGACACCGTAACGATATAGGTCTGAGCTCAAATCTCGGTAATGTCGTGCTTTTTTACTATATTTCTCAAAAACGGCACCACGTGCAATAAAGTTGTATATATCATTGGAAAGAGCATCAAAAGTTGTATAACCTATCAACTTTTCACATAAATATATCTCAACTGTAAAAAGTTATTAAGCAGCAAAGACGCTCCCATTGACTTTCCATGTTAAAATTTTTCATTTTTAAACGAGCCTAAAAAGAACAAACGAATTTGCACAGCTTAAAGAAGCATAACAACATGTTCTATGGTCTTTTCTCAACAAGTCCTGGAAGTTTAAACAAAATCGTATCATATAATTTTGTACAATGAGCGAATGAAAAAGTCTCTGCAAAAATGCCCATTGACTTAACATGGGGAGCGAAAAAAGTTCAACTTTGACCTCGTGCAAAGTCACGTTACGAAGTTCTGAGGGGTATACGGCGCACACTAGCGTGTACCCAAACGTGTTTGCCATAAAATGCTGGGAAGAAAACCACCTCTTCCTTGGCTCGTTTTCCCGCTATTCGCGATCGCGCAAAAAGTGTCCAAAACCCCATTGACTTAACATGGGGAAAATGGAATCGCACGTGCCACGTGCCACGAGGTTTTAAGCGAGTAGCGACCGAAGCCATCAGGTAGATCGCCTGCGGGAGCCCATACACTGAAATTTTTAAGAAAATCGAGCCACAAGTTTAGGCCTGACCCAAGTTGCCCCAATTCGCGGCCAGACATGCAAAACATAGCCCGGAGAAGGACCGCTCCGGTTGTTTTTCAATAGAAAAACACAATTCTAACGAATAGTGTTTGTCTTTTCAAACAACCTGCGGTTACCAGCATCTGCGATGCTGGGCTCCGCATCGCGGGACCGCAGGTTGTTTGAGCAAGCACCTCTGTAACGTCGCAAAAGCGCCCGCCGCCAAACGAGAGGATGAGCCTTGCACGTGCAGACCGGAATGGGTGTGCTACGAAATGACGTGCACTGCACTCTGCTAAGCGGTCTCTAGCGGTGTGCCAAATTTGAGTGCAATCGACCCGGCCTTTTTCGAGATCTGGAAGCGACACCCTGCACGTGCACACGTGCAAAATGGTCCCATCTGACTTTTGCACGGCACCCTATTCGCCGGTCTCTAGCGGTGTACCAAATTTGAGCTCAATCGGCCCGGCCGTTCTCGAGATCTGAAAGTGTCACCCTGCACGTGCGCACGTGCAGCTGCATCCCAACCGTGACCCATGAAAATACATACTAACTGACTTGCGCACGGCACCCTACTGATCGGTCTCTAAAGGTGTGCCAAATTTGAATGCAATCGGCCCGGCCGTTCCTGAGATCTGGAAGCGTCACCCTGCACGTGCGCACGTGCAACCTGGGACCCAACTGATCTGTGCAAGGCACCCTACTACGCGGTCTCTGACGGTGTGCCAAATTTGAACTCAATCGGCCCGGCCGGTCACGAGATCTGGAAGCGTCACCCTGCACGTGCGCACGTGCAGCGGCACCCCTACCGTGGCACATGAAAATGGATCGCCTGGTAGGTGACTACCTGCATGCCAAGTTTCAGCGCAATTGGCCCAGTAATTACCGAGTTATTGCACTTATTACAAAACTGACACCTGTCCGTATTACACGTGTCACGTGCAGTAGGGGTCACTCGCATGCATCGTCCATAGTAAAATACTTCTAAGAAGGGTATACGCTACCCCACACAAAAAACCGCAAGTGTATTGGTCCAGTGGCTGCGGAGATATAAGTCGTACAAAAACGTCCCCACGGCGGCCGGCTGCTAATGTTTAGTATTAAATCGCATCCTTCAATGGGAGGTATCCCTGTCACCTGTTCGTATACTGTCTGAGCCAAGACCATATATAGGTCTGAGCTCAAATCTCGGTAAAGTCGTGCTTTTTTACCAAATTCCTCAAAAACGGCACAACGTGCAATAACTTTCTAGATATCACTGGAAAGAGCATCAAAAGTTGTATAACCTATCAACTTTTCACTTAAATATATCTCAACTGTAAAAAGTTATTAAGCAGCAAACACGCTCCCATTGACTTTCCATGTTAAAATTTTTCATTTTTAAACGAGCCTAAAAAGAACAAACGAATTTGCACAGCTTAAAGAAGCATAACAACATGTTCTATGGTCTTTTCTCAACAAGTCCTGGAAGTTTAAACAAAATCGTATCATATAATTTTGTACAATGAGCGAATGAAAAAGTCTCTGCAAAAACGCCCATTGACTTAACATGGGGAGCGAAAAAAGTTCAACTTTGACCTCGTGCAAAGACACGTTACGAAGTTCTGAGGGGTATACGGCGCACACTAGCGTGTACCCAAACGTGTTTGCCATAAAATGCTGGGAAGAAAACCACCTCTTCCTTGGCCCGTTTTCCCACCATTGGCGATCGCGCAAAAAGTGTCCAAAACCCCGTTGACTTAACATGGAGAAAATGAAATCGCACGTGCCACGTGCCACGAGGTTTTAAGCGAGTAGCGACCGGTGCCATCAGGTAGATCGCCTGCGGGAGCCCATACACTGAACTTTTTACGAAGATTGTACATTTCGTCTAGGCCCCACCCAAGTTGCCCCAATTCGCGGCCAG